TAGAAACTTGGTCTGGCACAAGGGGAGGAAAGTGCATTCAGATGTGCTCACATGATCACGCAAACATTCCACTGGTTAGATGGACATCCATATCCACTTGTTTAATAAAATAATGAATATATCTGGCAAATGAGAGGTAGAATTCTGTCCATGGCTGGGAAGTTTCAGGTATGAGAGCAGAATGGGAAAAGGAGCAAATATCACAAATAGCATTCAGTTGTTCCTGACAATGCAGACCATCCATTTTTAAGAATGCCCACTGCCTGGTAGGATAGCCTGAATGCCTTTTCTGAATCTTATCAGTTGTGGCAGCTTGGAAGCCTGGCATAGGTGCCAGCTGCACTGCCTTATCATGGTCTGCAGCTGGCAAGGCTTCTGATTTTCAAATTTTCCTATTTTCACTCTACCAGAGCATCATACCATTCCCCTCTTTTGGGTGGCCTTATATTTTTTCAAGAATGACTAAAGAATTTCCATTAACAATAGAATATGCTACTAACAAGTAGCCATTTGATGTTATTCCTGTTAACCTGTTTGGTCCATCTACTACAATGGTAGACAAGGGACACATTCAACATTTAGAAGAGAGGGTCCCATTAGACTGTAAGGCTAAATTGGTAGGACTTGTCACATAACTTGGCAAGGCGTCATGAATAGGAGAACATGTTCAACCACAAAGTTAGATTTTCCGTATCATTTTGCTCCCATCTTGTACCTCAAAAATGCAGGATCTGAATCCCTCTGCCATGGACCAGGAACATAAAAAAATATCAATAGGTCAGACCATTTGCTCAATGTGTTGAATATGGGCTCCATATAATAAAATATAATTGATTCAGCTTGTTTTGATTTTAGTGTTTTATGTGAATTCAGCCAGTGAAATTTCTAAAGCATGTTTAATTGCTCAGTATGTTGCATCAGTCCAACAAATTGTATTTAACTAAGAAAGAGCAATTAAACAAAACATTAGTTAGGGTGATACATGGACCCAGATTTAGAAGTTCCACAGACAGGCAAGCCAACACCCTCTTGGTATTTTAGGATCCGACTACCATCAGCCACATCCAACATCCAGAATCAAGAGCTTGTGCTGTTTACAATCACAGGAAGGTGTGTCAACAACCTGTATAGGACAATATTTTCCCTTGCACAATCCAGAGGGAGTGATAAGGGGGGGGGGGGTTCCTTGACTAAGCGATTGAAGAATATCAATTTCATAGGTTTTCTGAGAGAATAAATAACCAAGTGCCTAGAGGGATGCTCCTCCAGAGAGATACTTTTAGGTGGCACCATTCTATGTAACTGCCTCAGAAGACTTTTGGACCAATCGGGTTTCTGTCTGCTGTCCTTCTACCACCCTGTGCGAGGTAGTGAAATTGATCTCTGAAAGATCAATTGTTGATTGGAAGCTTAGAGTGCAAGATTGTGTGGGTGATATTAGGCAAAGTTTCCTATCAATCTATGGCCCAAATGAAGCAAAAACATGATGAGTCTTTCCTGGTTGAATGTCAAAATGAGTATTCATTGAAGGAGTGTGATTAGGTACAGTATGTGGCAGAGACAGGAAATAGCCCAGGGTCATTTCCTTGGGTGTTCCATATAGCTAACAATGCAGCTCTTTCTACACAGCCAGCACAACAGGTTCGAATTCACTTGAATGCTGAGATGCAATGCCCTTTCAAATCCTAGATGTTTAGCATACTCCTTTTGAAAAAAAATTAAATCCACCTGACTGGTTTTTCAAGAAAATCCCCAAAACTACTAGTATACTCCAAGAATCATACAGTAGTTAAAATTGTAGTTGTGCTCATACCTTGTGCGAAGACATGATGAATTCAAGCATGTTTTGTGGAATAAAACCTAGTGCCTTACATGTAACATGGTAGCAGTCTTCCAATATTTGAGGAACTGTCACAAAGAAGAGGAGGTCGACCTATTCTCCAAAGCACCTGAAGACAGGATAAGAAGTAGCAGGTGGAAGATCATTAAAGAGAGATCCAACCTAGAACTAAGAAGAAATTTCCTCTTGGTGAGAACAATTAATTTGTGGAATGGCTTGGCTCCAGAGGTTGTGGATGCTCTGGAGGTTTTCAAGAAGAGTTTGGACAACTATTTGTCCAAAATGGTATAGGGTTCCTGTTCAAATGGGGGGGGGGGGGAGGGTTGAAGTAGAAGAACTCCAAGGTCCTCCCAACCCTGTTATTCTATAACTATGCTGGGTTTGCACAATATAGAGTTCTTAAGATAGAAATAGGTTTCTTATGCATTTTCAAATATTATTTGAGTACTTTAAAAGATGTGGTGAAGCCAGATCTACAGTGGGAAACAGAGAGATAGGGACACATAGACATTTTTTTCTAGTTTTTTCTTCTTCTAGAGTAACAACTCAAATTCAGCATAGGAAAAACAGAATTGTAAACTGGAGACATGGTTAAATAGTAGCACTCGGTGATTTTTTTTAATGTGTTATATAGGCTTACAGCTCATTATTACTAATACTGAGGCTCATTAGTACTAATGCGATGGATTTATTTTATTTGTTCTAATTGTGCAAATAATACACTTGCTGTATATGTGGGGGGATCTATGAAGCTGCTATTGAAGTGTCTATTCAAGAAAGCTTTAAATATTAATCCTTAAACCAAAGTGCAAAAACGGAATGTACAGCAGGTACCTCTCTAGAAGAAACCCATTGATCACTGTTGAAGCATAGAAAATTCAAGCTGAGTTCTTGAACAGTGAGGATGGTTTCTCCTGTGCTTCGAGATGATGGGGCTGTACTCCTAACAGCATGGAAATAATCATGTGAAACTTTGTCACAGAGGTGCAGGCTGTGCAGGGCAAACATATTTAACCTTTCTTCCTTTTCAGTAGTTTATAACCTGTGTTCTTTCCTTTTAATTAATGACTGGTGGTAAAGATATATCCATTAACCTTTCTGTGTGAGTGTCCCGCTATGCTACAAATATTTAATTTGGTGTGCACTTGTTTGAGCTCTGGATAGATGCATTGCGGAAAGATGTAATGTTGGGTTGAACCACCATGATTTCTAAGTGCTGTTTTATAGCACAGCATGATAACAGTACTGAGATAATAATTCAGCAAGGGTATGCCAAGCAGTCTTGAATGCATTGTGGGAACACAGCCATGAATAAAAGGTCCAAGAGCTTATTGAAATTTGAATCAATCTCTCTCTCTCTCTCTCTCTCTCTCTCTCTCTCTCTCTCTCTCTCTCTCTCTCT